TTGTTAAGGAGGGTATGGTTCCTCCAGCATGTTTCTAGCCTCTTGTCAAAGATCAGATGGCTGAATATGTCTGGGGTTGTTTCTGTGTCCTCTTTTCTGTTCCACTGATCCACATGGGTTTTGTGCCAGTACCATGCTGTTTTTACACTGTGACTTTGTAATATAGCTTCAAATCTGGGATTGTGGTGCCTCCCGCCTTGTTTTGTTGTCCAGGATTGCTTCTGCTATTCCAGGGCTCTTCTGGTTCTTTATGAACTTTAGGATTGCTTCCTGTAGTTCTGTGGGAATTCTGTTGGTATTTTGGCTGAGATAGCATTAAATCTATGCATCAGTTTTGGAAGTACAACTATTTGGATAATACTAGCCCTATCCAGGACGAAAGATGTCCTTCTGTTTTCTGATGTCCTCTTTAATCTTCTTTTTCAGAGTATTACAGTTTTGTTATAGAGTTCTTTCTCTTCATTTGTTAGGTAAATTCCTAAGTAATTTTTCTTGAAGCTATTGTGAATAGTATCGTTTTCCTAATTTCTTTCTCAAAGGGTTCATTACTGATGTACAGGAGTGCTACAGATTTTCGTGTGTTGATTTTGTATTTTGCTACCTTGCTGAATTTATGTCCTAGTTCTAGGGATCTTTTGCTGGAGTTTTTGGGCCTTGGAAAGGATTATGTCCCCTGCAGATGAGGACAGTTTGGCTTCTTTCTCTAGACACTCTGCTCTGGCTGCATCTCAAGTTCTGGGCTGACAGGTATGGTGATAGTGGTGTACATCTCTGTCTTGTTCCTGAGTTTAGAGGAAAAGCTTTTCACTGTTTCCCACTGATGTTGGCAGTAGGTTTGTCCTAAGTGGTGGTTTCTACTCTTGTGTTTGTGTGTCGGTGCGGAATCCTGCCCGGCCTTTCCTGTGGGATGGGCTTGGTCCATTGTGTCCGTCCGAGGGCTGTGTGTACTGCAGCGGTCCAGGTTTCCTGGTCTCTCTGTGCACCCTGAGGCACAGATTCCTCTGCCTATCGTTGTAGCCTGTGGGCTTGGGAAGTGTCTTCTGCTCTCGAGGCTCCTCAGTCTGCACCCCCAGGCTTTGGCAACCACTTAGCTAGGTGCATCTCTGATGGATCATGTTGATAGACGGGGAAACAAAGTGGCCATGAGTTTCCTGTTGGACGCAGGCCAGGAGGTGGGGTGGAGGTCACGCTGGACAAAGCCAGCCCTTTCCGACTCAGCTCCTACTGAAAGCTGGCTTCTCACTTTGGAGGCCAGGACCTCTGTGTCCTTCCCAGTCTGAGCTTCACCTTGTCAGGGGTGTGTCCAGCCTGCACTATCTCAGCGACTGGCTCTTGTTTCCATGTCCCACCCAGTCATGTGGTAGGCAGCTGAGGGCTCTGCGGCTCCATTTTAAACAATTAACCCCTTTCAAATGGCTCCTGATTGAACTTTTTCAAATATGGCAGGTGCTACATGGATTTCTTCTCCAACTCAAGCTGCTATTCAGAAGGATTCACTTCGGAATAAAACCCCATGCTGTTTTGCAGTTTGCAGCAGCCGTGGGCTCTTCGGGGCCAGGACTGCTGGCCGGGCCTGTTGCTTCTCCCTGAGCTGCCGACCTCTCCGATTAGCCTGTGCTGGCAGAGACAGGTCCCTCCAGAGCTGGGCTGCCTTGTGCTGCGCGTCTCCAGCTTCTCAGTAGTTTCTAGTTTTCCTGTCAACGCCTCAGCAATTCCCAGACACCCGCAGGTCTTTTCTTCACCAGGCTGTTGACCTCCAGGTGTTTGGATCTCAGGTCCTGGGAAGGCTGTGTTTTGCTGCAGTCTCTGCCCAGCCATTTCTAACCCGCAGTCTCCTACTTCTGTTTATTTATATTTTTAGAGAATTGGCACTGTGTGAGACTAGAGTCTGCTCTTCAACAACATGAGCCACGATCCTTTCAGTCCTTGGGTTTCACTCCACACCTCAGTCAGGAACCCCGAGATGCTAACCCGCCGTTCCCCTCAGCCAGGAGGGCCCTGCACACCCTTGCCCGCCGCGGCCTCTGCTCCGTGGGCTCTGTGCTCTGTTTTGCGGCCCTTTGCTGGCTTTGTGCTCCCCGGGCCTTGCCTCTCTTGGGGCATCTGTCTAAGAGCGCTGAAAGTTTGCAGGACTAGAGGGACAACTCCGTCTACCACTGTGCTTCTCCCTGCCTTACCACCAGCTTTTCCTCTCTGAATACTGAGAGCAAGTCTGCTGCTTTGGGCCTCGCGGGGCCCAGAAACCCGGGTCCCAGTCAGTGGTCCTGCTGCACCCGCTTCCAAGCTGTTCTTGTGTCATGTCTGTACAGCTGGGGTTCTCTGCAGACAGAGGGGGACGCTGGCCAGCAGGTGGAGTTCACAGGGAGGCTGGCGGGCAGCTCCAGAGCACACAGAGGGGCGGAGGGACCAGCTGGTCACCAAGGCCAGCACCACTGGCCGCTTCCTGCCCTGCTGCCATTGCACATGAATTTGGTGGGGCGGTGATGATGGTGGGGCTGCAGCGGCCTCAGCTGACCTGGTTGTGTCCGCGCCTTTGCCCGGCCTCTCCTTGGAGCAGGCAGCACTGTGACTGCTGGGCAGGGGTAAAAATGTTGGCCCAGGACACGATGGTCACCTATGAAGGGGCAAACAGCTTTGTTGCAGCTACGCTTGCTGTGAAATTTGTCCCTGCCCTGCTGTTCGAGTCCGCGTCACCTCCCCGTAAGCTCCTGGGTCGCGGCGTGACACCATCATTCATCATGCTCATCCACTCGCCTTCCCGGTGACCACTGCGACTCAGAGACAGACACCATCTGCTGGGGGCGGCATGGGCTCTCTGAGGGCGCTTGGGGTCCGGTTCAGACCCGGCTGCCAGCCTCGGTTCCAGCAGAGGTTTCTAGAAAGTGCTCTGTGCGGTGTGCCTCTCATTCGCCCTTTACCTTCCTCTTGGCGCTGGCGTGTCCTGGAACAGAACTGCGCCTTCTCCATTTCCCTTTCCTTCCGGATCGTTGCCAGTGCTAATATTAAAAATCACTTCTAGGGATTTCTGCCAGCACCGGCCCGGTCCTTGAAGGAGCCTTTTGTCTCTCCGAGGATTAAAGCTGTAATAACCAGGGCTGTTTTGGTCATTATTGAATAGCAGACTCTCAAAAGTGTCACTGGTATTTTTTATTGTGGTTGGTTATTGGGTGAGATTCTTTCCGAATACAGCATGAGAATGAGAAATGCAGCAGGGAAGGTGACCGAGAGGTGGGTGGAGCGGGAGGAGTTCGTGTTCCGAGCCCGAGTCTGCTCCCATGGTGAACGGGGTCACTGCGCCCTGCACGCGTGGGCTCCAAAATGAGAAATGAGAAATGTGTTCAGGAGGCCGGGGCCTCGGTCACTTAGCGAGCTGGAGAAAGGTTCACGGGGGAAAGAAAGGCACAGGCTCCAGAGACCAGGGCGACCGAGTGTTTGCTCATTCCATGAGCTCGCCTGGCACTTCCTGTGCAGAGTTCAGAGAGTGAGATCAAGGACCTGGGAAATGTCACAGTGAGTCAGGCACAAAATCTTTTATCTAAAGTCCTGGTTCCCAAGAATGCGGCCTGGGACATCTTGTGGAAGAACATGCATGATTCTTAGGGCGATTTTAGGGCGATTTTTACTTTAAAGGACGGGGCCCGACACACCCATCCTGCTTGTGTTTTCAGTTGATTTGTATACTGAGTCCAACAGGCTGACCCATTGTTGAGAGTGCTGCTATTTGTTTTTAAATGCTTTGTTCCAAAAGTACCTGGGCCTCACCGGGCGTGGTGGTGCATGCCTGTAACCCCAGCACTTGGGAGGCTGAGGCAGGAGGATCTCGGTGAGTTCAAAGCCAGCCTGGGCTATGTAGCGAGACCCTGTCTGGAGCCGCTTTCCATCTGAGAAGGATTCCTTTCCCGACTTCCTGCTGTCTGTCATTTATTTATTTATTTACTTATTTAGAGACATGTTTTCACCTTGTAGTTCAGGCTGGACTCAAACTCATGGCAATCCTTCTGCCTCAGCCTCCCAAGTGTGGGATTACGGGCTTGAGCCACCACACCTGGCAGTATATCACTGTCTGAAACAATAAAACAAAAGAACCAAAAAAGAGGAAGAGAAGAGACAAGGTCTGTTAGCTGTCTTTTGTTTCTCTCCTTATTTATACTTTGGGTTTCTCATAAGAGAAACCATGATGCTTAAGCAGCGCACCTGATTTCGTTCACGTAAACTTCTGGTCTCCAGGTGCCTTCTAGTCTCCATTTACCTATGTATGACTCTGGATTATCTTTGATTATGGTAGCCCAGAGCAATGGATTTTAGTTTTTATCTTTAAACCTTTTTATCTCTTTTCATTTTAAAACACTTTACCTTTTTTTTTTTTTTTTGTATCAGGAATTGAGGTCAGGACCTCGCACTTGCTAAGCAGGTGCTGTGCCACTGAGCTCTGTCCCCAGCCTCATTTGTAAACATTTTAACACAGTTTCTTTGTGTGTGTTCGGGATATGCCACAGATGCACTCACGGCGTGCTGGGGCACACACAGCTCAGTCTGACCGTTTCCCTTCCCCTCCCGCCCATGCTCTCCGGCCTCCCCACCCAACTGCCCTTCCATCCCGAGTGCTCCTCCGGCTCCGCGTGGGGACAGGAGGTGCTGGCTGTTCATGCAGTGTATTACGGTTCTCATCCTCCACTCACTACACCTTCTGTCTGCAAAATGTGGGCCAATTCTTTCATTTCCCACTTTTATATTGATGACTTTTGAATCCATGTCCTTACCCGGAGGTCTGCACTCCTCTGTTTCTTTAACTGTGTACTAGTAGGCATCGGCACCCCAAGGTCTGGGGCGCTCAGTGTGTACATCCACAGGTGAATGACAAACAACTGTGCAGCTGTGCAATGGACTGTTAATGGGCACAGAAAAAGAATGAAATATTATTACATGGAACAACACAGATGAATCTCAAAATAATGACTCTGAGTGAAAGAAACCAAACAACAGAAAGGCAGCTTACTGTACATTTCCTCTTTTATAAAATTACAGGAAATACGGTAATGGCAGAAAGCAGATCAGTGGTTGCCAGTAATGGGGGTAAGAGAATGTATTTGTGTTGGATTATTCGGTTTATTATGTATCAGTTACACCTCAGTAAAGTCCCTTGGTGGCAGCACTGTGGACCCTCCCGGTCCTGCGTGTGGCCATATTCTGAGCTGGGCGTTGACTGCGTGAGCCAGCAACTCCTGATTTAGAACTTGGGGATCTGTCCTCGCTCGTGTGATAGTGAATGATTCATTTCTCCGGTCCCACCACTTCTGCTTCCCTTCCCCTCATCCCGTGAATGAATTTTCCTGCAGTCACACTCAGCGCTGGCTTTCTGGGACACCGAGCACTGCCCTGCTGAGACAGCCTGAGCCTGGGTCACATTTAGGTCCGTCTCACGGTCCCGGGGTGGGCGCCCTCATCGGGGTGGTCTCTGCAGAGTGTGCTTTGTTTGTGCGCCGATTTTCAGCTGTCCTCAGGGACTCATTGGACCGCATGGTGTCAAGCACTCACAACGTGCTGTGCCGTCGGTTCTGGTCCTCACCCTGTGACCAGCCGAGGTCTCAGCAGAGGTGCTCGGTCCCCAGCAACCCCTCCACACTGCAGCACTGGGTCAGTCAGTCCCAGCCCTTCACAGGGTGTCCACACAGCCCTTCACGGGGTTCAGGAGTTCGCATGTCTCCTAGTGATCTAGGGGAACAAAACTCCCAACCTACTATGTGTCTGGAATGAGTTCATGTTCTCTAAAATCAAAAATGAATTTTAGGAACAATGGAGGTTAAGAGCAGAAATATTTATTGAGAGGAAGAAAGCTTCTGTCTGAGAGAGAGACAGAAGGGGTCCTGAGTGGGTTGCCAAAGACTCTGTTTTTTCTAGGGACTTTTATAGAAAAAAGCACGAGGTGAGGCTGCTCTAAGGTGGGGAAAACCGGGAACTTTCAAGGCAGATGGGCATCAGGTGGGACAGAGCTGTTGTCAACCAGTAAGTTTAATTGTTCAGGTAAAATTGACTAAATCAGGGACAAATGGGGAAGCCAGTCACATAGCAAGCGAGCGTTCTTTATGGATCAGTGACTCTTCCTCTAGGGGGCTGGGATGGTGACTCCTGGCTTCTCTGGGTGATCCACACCTAATCCCTAAGGATTATACTTAAGAGTATGGTCATATTTGTTTTGCCTTCTGTCCCAAGATCTGGCCCACAGCAGGAGGTGTGTGTCTCCTCCAGGTCTCCAGACATCTGGTCCTCTGTGCCGGCTTCCTCGAGGGCCCAACCCTGTCCAGTGGTCTGTATTTCTAACTGGCTCAGCTGCATGTGACACTAGCATTTACTAAAGAGCCACCCTCAGACACCAGTGTGTGTTTACCCCTCATAGAGCCTGAAGCGGCGTCATCTAACCCTCTCGGATGCCGTATTGACAGAGTGTCCCTTCTCTGTTGTGGGGTTTATGTCCCAGGGTGAGGGCAGGAGCTAAGAGATAACCAGAGACCCCAGATGTCAGCCAGCACTTACAGAGGGGCCTGGTGTCCAGGCAGGACATCACATGGTCAGGAGGAGTGGGGGCAGCTGTGCAAGGACCACGTGGGGACAGCACCGTGTGGCCCTGGCAGAGCAGGTGACAGGCAGCACACGCAGACTCAGAAGCCGAAAACCCAGGGGTGAGGGGAAGCAGGAGGCTGAGGCAGTGCTGGTGGGAACAGGAGCAAGAATGGCCGGCGGTGAACTGGGGGCATAGCGGGTTCAGGAGCACGCAGCCTCCCCGAGGGCTGGGTGACGGCTCCAGGATGAACCGTGCTGGCATCTTGGAACAAAGACACTAAGATTCTGAAGACACGCATTGGTGCACAGGGGGCCGATGTGGGAACTTGCCTTTGCGATCCTCGGGGGCTTCCAGTGGTCCAGGTGGGAGGGTTTAAGCCTGCAGCTGTGCCTGGCCGGGTCCCTTCTGATGGAGCGGCTGTGAGAGGAGGATGAGAAGCAAGGGGGGGATCAGCAGCCTCCTGCGCTGCCCATGTGGCGGTGGTGGCATTGCATACGGGATCCAGGGCCTCCGAGAAGCTGTGTCTGGGTTGTGGGGCAGAGACCCTGCTGACAGCCCAGCGTGCAGAAGCAGATGTGGCCGAGGTCCAGGGCTCTAAGGAGAGTGGGGCGGCTGGCTTCCCGGCTAGGAGGGCTGGGCGGAGCTCAGGTACCAGGAAATGCCTCAGAAAGCAGACCAATCTAATACAGGGGAACCAAAGAGAACCAGAAAAGGAACAGCCCATGAGACTGTGTCTTGTCTCTCGTTGCTGGGACAAAATACCCGACACCCAAGATGAAGGGAGGAAAGGTTTATTTAGCTCACAGTTTGTGGAGGTTTCAGTCCGCAATCAGCGGGCTCCAAGGCAGGGTGGCCCTGGCACTGGGGCAACACTTCAAGGTAGCAGCCAGCAGAAGCAGCCAGAGCAAAAGGGGGAAGAGCAAGCCTCTTCTCTTCCCTTATGTTATACACAGACCACCTTCCCCTGGACGAGTGTAGCGCTCACAAAATCTCTGTAACCTCCTCTGGCACAGGCAGAGAATATTTACAAAGTAAGAGCCCTGGCTCCCTGCTCAGTCTCTTAGTTAAACTCCTCAAGTTGACACTGTATCAACCATAACAGCAGGATCCGGGAGAATTCACATGGGAGCAGACAGATGGAGAGGGTGCTCAGGGAATAAATGGTGCCCCAGGACAGGGGTCAGGGGCCTGCGCAGAGTGGGCACCAGCAGGCTCCACAGTGCCCAGCGCACCCCCTGACAGGGCAGGCGGCTCCCTGGAATAAGCTGCGCCTGCTTGGGAAGTGGGCACCCGTGAGGGGCCCTCATCCAGCAGATGGAAGAAAGTTGTCTCTTCAAACTTTAATCATAGGGAGGAGACCTAAAGATTCTTTTGGAGTGAAAGTACACACTTTCAACAGGAAGTGAATTAACTTCATTCACTTGGGAGGAAAATCTCTGACCTCGCTTTCTGCTTTCTCACCAGCACTTTCTTCCCCTCGCCAATCTGGAGTGTTCGCCGAACGTCGAAACTTTCCTTTGCCAAGCGTTTATCCCAACCTGCACGGAGCAAATTCACGTGGTCCCACCCTGCCGTAAATTCTGCGAGAAAGTGTATTCTGACTGCAGGAACATCATGGACACCTTTGGGATCAGGTGGCCCGAGGAGCTTGAATGTGACAGGTAAGCAATGTGTCTTAGTTACTTTTTACTCATTGTTGAGACAAAATACCTGAAGCCCAAAGTTAGGAAAGAAAAGGTTTGTTTCTTACAGTTTTTGGAGGTTTCAGTCCATACTCAGTTGGCTCCAAGGCAGGGTGGCATGGCGGGGCCACAGTTCACAGCGGCTGCAAACAGCAAGGCAGAAACTGGTGGGAGAGAGAGACACACCTTCTTCCTGCCATTACGTCACATCCTGGCTCCACCCCAGGTGGGTGTAGCACTGACACCATCAATGCAAGCTCTAGACAATGAGCCAATCACAAGTGCACAATGCAAACGCATGAGGCCTGGGCCCACCAGCATAAACCATGACACGATTTCTCTCTGCATGCTGCCTCTCCAAATAGCTGGTGACCGGCTCTCATTACGCAGTGCACAGGCATTGCTGTTACTTGGTGCTGGGCATCACGGACAGTGGCTCGCGGCAAAGGGGCGTGGTTCCTGCTCTCAGAAACATATCGAGGTGGGAGGGACGGGTTGCCAGGTTACACACCAGCAGTGTGAAATGACGGCAGCCACTAACTCTGAGAGGGAGGAAGAGCTCCTCAGGGACGTGGTGACGGGAGGCAGCGCGGCACGTTGGGAAGGAAAGGCACTGCAGCTCGTTGGCGAGAGGGACAGGACAGTGGAGCGAGGCAGCACAGGGAAATGTAGGTTGGACAGACCGCAGGTGGGCCGGGCTGGGGGACAGTGTGGCCGACACTCACAGGGCCCTGTGCAGTGTGAGGCCGCTGGGGGGGCAGCGGGGGTGCTGAGGTAGCGGGAAAGAACCAGGAACAGGCCTGCAGACTCTCCGTGGAGAGGGACGGAGGCTCCTGGGAGGAGTTGGGATCCCGAGTCTCGGCTAGGAGAGAGGAATGGGGAGCCCTGGGGAGACTGCCAGTGCGCCCCAGGAGTCTGTGAGTCTGTGTCTGCCCTCGAGAGCCCTCGTCCTGCTGGGATGCTTGGGCCCAAGTTCAGGGCAAGCAGCTGCGTGGGTCTGTGGTGCCACAGGTGGGTGGGTGCGAAGGGGGAGCAGTGGCATGAAGTGGAGGCGGGTGAGAGCAGCACTGGTGCAGTGACAGCCCAGGAAGATCTAAGTGGACAGGAGTGCGGCAGAGGGGAAGGGCTGAGGGACCAAGCTGGTGAGCTCTGCGGGCAGACACACTTTCACCCGCATGCCGGGAGGACGCAGCACCAGGCGGGTGCTGGAGCGGAGTTTTGGAGAAAGGTGCACCTGCAGGCTGTGGCAGGATTCCTCGTGTCACTGGGACTGCAGGTGGCCAAGGAGGTCAGAGAAACTCATGTGACACAGGAGACAGGAAGCCAGGGAGGCAGTGCGTGACCCGTGAATGTCAAATCAGCAAGCGTGACGATGGCACAAAGGGGAGGTATCCTGGGCACGTTTCTTTCATTGCTGGGACAAAATACCCAACAGAAAGGGAAGGTTTATTTAGCTCACTGTTTGTGGAGGTTTCAGTCCATAAACGGGAGGGGGAGCAAACTTCTCCCTTGTATTGTACATAGGGTCCCCCCTATCCCATCAGTGGGTGTAACACTCACAATATCTCCCTGCGCTCCTCTTGCACAGGAGGAGGATATTTACAAAGTAAGGATCCTGACTCCCTGCTCATCTCCCAGTTAAACTTCTAAACTGCTCAACTTGACACAATGTATTAACCATCATAGGAGATGAGAAAAAGGCTGATTCCAGAAACAAACATTTGTTACTTGTTCCATATGGCGGGGTCCAGGCCCAGGGCTGCAGCAGGGGGTCCTGCTGTGGATCTCACAGCACAGCAGGGTGGCGGACAGTGAGGCGGGTTTTGTTCCAGGAGGGGGCAGCCTGCGGCCACGAGATGCTCTCTGCCTGGTTGCTCACCACATTGCAGAGTGGGTGAGATGCCTACATCTTTGCGGTTTGAGTTTGTTGAAGAAATGACACTTAAAAAAAAATTAAATCAGGGGCTGGGGATTTAGCTCAGCGGCATAAGCGCCTGCCTTGCAAGCAGGCAGTCGTGAGTTCAATCCCTGGTACCAATAAAAAGGAAAAAGACAAAAAAAAAAAAAAAATTAAATCAGCCGGGCGTGGCGGCTCACGCCTGTAATTCCAGCACTCGGGAGGCTGAGGCAGGGGGCTCGTTGTGAGTTCGAGACCAGCCTGGGCTATAAAGTGAGCTTAAGGCAAACCTACTGCATAGCGAGACCCTGTTTCAAAAAAAGACAAAAAAAAAAAAAAAATTAAATCAAGTTAAATGTATTTCAAGTTGGAGATAGCTTGGTACATGGAATTGGTAAGTAGAATCTCCATTTTAAACTCTTCATTTTGTTAAACTGTACCCCACTAATACAAACCAAGGCCATAATCATCTTTTTATAAAATATTCACTGAGTCAGATGCATGCAGGAATAATTCTGGTGTGTTCTGTACTAGAGAGACCTTATTTTTCTTCAGTTCTGTAAATCAAACCTTCAGTCTTCGAAAACATGAAAAAAGAGAATTTCCAATAAAAACCCTAATTCTAGCAAAAGTGGCATATTACATTTTCATGAAACTGGTAAATACACAAGTATTCATTTCATGGGTATTTATTTTATTATTATCTGTTGTTATCTAAATATATTTTAAAGGGTTTCTCATTAAAACCCAGACCACTTTTTAAGCTAACAAAGTCTTCCAAGTAACAGCAGTACACCCAGACCCGGCTCAGCAGCCAAGCCGTGTACTCATGAGAAATATCCGCATGTCCACACCCTAGACAGAAGGGCGGCAGGGAGGTGACCAGATCCTGGTCCGCTCTTTGCAGCCTTCTTGGTCCCGCTTAGGACCTTGAGCCTGACCCTGCCCTCCCAAGGGAGAAGCTCGTCTCTGCCCTTCCTGCTGTCCCAGCCCAGGCATGTAGTCCTTGTGGTCTACTTGTGGGGATCACGAGGTTAGGGTGGGGACCGGGGACGTAGCTCAGTGGCAGGACTCCCGTCTGGTGCGCACACGGCCCTGGGTTCAGTCCCCAGCACTACGAGAGAGAGAAGGAAAGTAAATTTCTCCAAACTGAAGTTTCCTGTGCTCTAAGTAGACAAGCCAGTTTTTTTTTTTTTTTTTTTTTTTGGTCAGGAGAGAACCAGTTTAGATAAATTCTCTCATAGTCTGTCTCTCTCTCTCTCTCTCTCTCTCTCTCTCTCTCTCTCTCTCTCTCTTTAAGAAAAAAGGGTTTATTTAGCTCATAGTCTATAGAGGTTTAGCCCATAGTCGGCTGGCTCCAGGACAGGGTGGCTTGGCAGAGGGGAACCGCAGCAGAGAAACAGTCCAAGGCAAAGCCAGGCAGGCAGCAGGCTGCTAACAGCACCCTCTTCCTGGCCCTTCTACCCTTTCCAGGGGACCCACCCTTAGGGCCGGCGGCCTCATGGCGGGTGGCCTTCCCATGACCCGCACCCAGAACTGCGCCAATCGGTGCACTGACTCAGAAGTCACACACCCTTGATCCCTGCGCCACACACCCTAGACCTGGCCACCTCCAAAAAGCCCCACCTGTGACCAAATGAGGCTTTGGGGGACATGTAGACACCAGCCACGTGGTACCTATTAAATTAAAGACAAGAACGACAGCAAGGGCGGGAAGTGGCAGAAATGCTGCCCAGCATGCTGAGTGGTCCTCGTTTCATAGCAGAAGGTCCCAGGTACAGTGTCCAGATAACACAGCGAGATGGAAGTGTGCCAGCTAACACACAGCACATGCTAAAAGTACAGGGTATTAAGTGGCCTTTAAAAGCAGAAACTATCTGCAAAGTGTTGGTTAGCGCCTGCCTGTGTATGCGTGGTGTGTGCTATTGTGTTGAGGCTTTTGTGACCCCTCAGCCTCCTGCCCCCCCAGACCTGTGCTGTGTGAGGTGTGTGTACCTCCCCGTCCGTTGTGGATTACAGGGTGATGTTTCACAGTTGGAAAGCGTGTCATACATGGCACATCGCGGAGAATGCTGACGTCACGGGGCTCCTCTTTGTAATTACAGGCTGCGGTACTGTAACGAGACGGCTCCCGAGGTTCACGGTCGGCACGGAGGAGCTCTCGGTCCCCAGAAGAAAACGGAGCAAGTCCAGAGAGACATCGGAATCTGGTGTCCGAGGCATCTGAAGACTTCTGGGGGGCAGGGCTATAAATTCCTGGGCATCGAGCAGTGTGCACCTCCGTGCCCCAACATGTATTTCAAAAGCGATGAGTTAGAATTTGCAAAAAGCTTTATCGGAATAGTTTCCATCTTTTGCCTGTGCGCGACCCTGTTCACCTTTCTCACCTTCCTGATCGACGTCAGGAGGTTCCGGTACCCCGAGAGGCCGATCATCTACTACTCCGTCTGCTACAGCATCGTGTCTCTCATGTACTTCATTGGGTTTTTGCTGGGCAATAGCACGGCCTGCAACAGGGCGGACGAGAAGCTGGAGCTGGGGGACACCGTGGTCCTGGGCTCCCAGAACAAGGCCTGCTCCGTCCTGTTCATGTTCCTGTACTTCTTCACCATGGCCGGCACGGTGTGGTGGGTGATCCTCACCATCACTTGGTTCCTCGCGGCCGGGAGGAAGTGGAGCTGCGAGGCCATCGAGCAGAAGGCCGTGTGGTTCCACGCCGTGGCCTGGGGCATCCCGGGCTTCCTGACGGTGATGCTCCTGGCCATGAACAAGGTGGAGGGGGACAACATCAGCGGGGTTTGCTTTGTCGGCCTCTACGACCTGGCCGCCTCCCGCTACTTCGTGCTCCTGCCGCTGTGCCTGTGTGTGTTTGTGGGGCTGTCCCTGCTCTTGGCCGGCATCGTCTCCCTCAACCACGTGCGACAAGTCATCCAGCACGACGGCCGCAACCAGGAGAAGCTGAAGAAGTTCATGATCCGCATCGGCGTCTTCAGCGGCCTGTACCTGGTGCCCCTGGTGACGCTGCTGGGGTGCTACGTCTACGAGCAGGTGAACAGGGTGACCTGGGAGATCACGTGGGTCTCGGACCACTGCCGCCAGTACCACATCCCGTGTCCTTACCAGGTACGAGCCGGATCGCACCCATTGGTGGTGCAGAGAATGTTCCTGGAAGTGGGCTTGTGCGGTCTGGGGTGTGAGGTGGAAGCCAGGTGGGGGAACCCGGCAGATACCGGGACTGTCCCTGTGGGGCAGCCGAGACCCGGCTCAGCGACCCGAGAGGGCTTTCCTTTCTGGAGCTGTAGCAATAGGAAGCGGCCTCCTGTATCCCCTAAAACATACAGCTGGGTGGAAAAGGCAGACGGACAGCAATGAGTAGTCAGGACAGAGGGAGAAGAGAGGCGCCTGCTGCCGGATGGGGAGAACCCTTCCCACCTGGGGGGGTATCGGGTGACGTTCTCTTCTGCCTTTCTGCGCAGTGCAAACATTGCTGGTTTAATAACCTTCCTGTTGATCGCAGTTCAGACCTAAGACTGAGGCCTGCCGCTCGGACCCACAGTCCGCCTTTTTTGGTGCAGCTCTGGGCACCTGGTGTGTGGAGCCTCCATGTCTTCCTTTGTACAGTGCGCCTTGCTTGGACAGCGCTGTGGTTTGTGCTCATAGTACCCTACAGTGCAGCACTTAGCTCCGTGTTCACCTCTACATTCCTGGACTGCACGCGAGAGTTGTGCAAAGAAAAGCAGCCAGGGTGGAGTTTCCCCTGGCCACGTCTTTGCTCTGAATGTTGTGCTGCGGTCCTGACCACAGCGCCTCATCTAACAGCAGTTCACTTGGGGACCGAGTTGCGGGACTGACAGGCACTCAACAAGGAATGTGTACTTGTAAGACAGAATTTGATCTCTGCCTAACTCCTCTGTCAGTTAAGTGAAAAAAAGCACAATTGAAGCAAAATATATTTTATGTGTTTCTAATGGTTATGACTAGTAGAATAGTGTTTTTAAGACATAAAAAGTACATTTCTGAAACTATAAACTTTATTAAGCATTTTAGTTGAGACTTTTAATAGAAAATTTATTTCTTGAGGAGAATCTTACAATTATTCTTCCATATTAAGGTATGAATTGAACACAAGCACAACCCTCACAGGTTAGCAAATTAAAAATTAATTTACATCATGCCAAGACAGGCATCACAACATTACTTCAAGTTGGCAGTAGCCTAAATATCTTCTTTTACAAATATCTTTAAGAGGTAGTTGAATAAGTCCCGATTCATCTGTGCAGTAGCACAGGCCTCTCCAGAGAAGGAAGGGCTGTATTGTACAACGTTCTAAGAAATGTTAGTAGATTCAGAAAGCAAAGAGAATATAGAACGTGTCATATTTTGATACTCATTCTATATTTTAAACTAGCATTTGAAAATTTATGCTTACAACAAAAGTATGATTTTAATTTTTATGAAAGTTCTACATTTTTAACATTTTACTGATACATATCTTACTTTGGTCAGACAAGTTTTTAATCACATAGTCATGCATATGTAAAGCGATAAATATAAATTGTTATAAGTTTATTTATATTTTTTGTTGCAGGTTATAGTGAAGGAAAATAGGTAAATATTTAGAGCAAATATATCATGCCAAAGTTTAGATTTGGCAAAATCTAAACAAATACTAAATATATTTAGCATTACCCCTCATCTGGAGTTCTATTTTGGTATGCACCTTAAGGTTACTTATTCAGAACATAGTTTAAAAATGTATTGTACTTGAATGTTATTCATTATATTATGCATTTCAAACCTTTATAATCAAATAGAAAGAAGATTTATAAAATTTTGTTCAATTTTTATATTGTCATTTTATTTTCATTTATTTTTGTCTTTTTTTTTTTTTTTTGTCTTTTTCCTTTTTATCGGTACCGGGGATCGAACTCACAACTGCCTGCTTGCAAGGCAGGCGCTTATGCCGCTGAGCTAAATCTCCAGCCCCTATTTTTGTCTTTTTTTTTTTTTTTTTATTTAAGGAGAAAAGAAAAAAAAAAAAAAACAGTGAAGGGGTACAAGTTATACAGATTTACAAAAGAAAAAAATGCGCAGTAGGAAATCACTAGTTAATGGATTACATATTGTCATCTTAGAAATAATTGTTCAAGTCACAAAATTAAAGCTTGTAGAGTGGACATTCCAACAATGATACTGCAAACAGTTCTGTTCAATGATCCAATAAAACTCTGTGATATCATTTTCTATCTTATACACTTAAATATACATGCAGTTATATAGTTTAGAGCACTTTCTTTTCCTCTCTTTTGTACAATGACTATTACACATTTTGGGTTTCATTGCTCCCACGGTTCTTATTGCTTTTTTGGAAGAGAGTAAAACCAAATGTGACATAACAGAACAGAATCGGTCAAGTCAAAAGGGTGGACATAATAGATAATATAAAAACATAATACAAGGTGATCAACAATGGTTACCATAATGCCTCCCGCTATCTCTAATAGAATTGCCTATATCATTAGTTGTAATACAATTGAACAAAACAGTAAAGAACAAAACCGACAAAACCAAAACATTGGAGACATTGTAGGTCTTCAAAAGTAGATAAAAGTCAACGAGAATGGGCGTTATAATGAATCTCATTATCTTCTCAGCTGATGCCTAAACTTTCGAACCTGATACTATCCAGAAAAACAGAATAGAGGAACCTGAGTCAAAAACAAGATGGTGAGAGTAATACAGGGCTTCAAATCGAGATAATAGAAAGTCAAAGTGGGTTACTATATTATATCCTGCTATTTTTTCCCTTTAATTAAACGGATAAAAATTTAAAAAGTAAATAATGGGGTGGAGATTGAGAAAAAAGAGGGCATAACAGCGAAACAGGGCAGATCAAAACATAACCATTTAAGCAGAATAGTGTTTCACCACCAGATAATTCCGACCCAAAAGTAGTTACCATATTGACTCTTTCCTTGAAGTCCTTGAGTACAACTTTGTATACTGTAGCATTAAGTATATCAAAACAACGTAAAACCATTTAAGAGAATGACAGCATTATAGAGTATTTAGAATCGACTAACAGAAAATGAACAATGGTTTCTGTATATTCTCCTTGTCTTTAAAAGGTTTTTGCTTATACTATCGTACATAATAAAATCCAATAAGATACAACCTGTTTAGACCATTGGAGACAGAAGAACAAAAGCTAGATGAGACTTCAAAACAAGATGGTACTAAGTCATTATTACCTATTAAGATGTCATTTTCTCCAAAATAGCTGTTCCTATCATCCAATCTTCTCTGTCTCATTTCTGTTGAGCTCTTTTTCTGTCAGTAGCTGTCAGTTTGTCTTCTTCATTTTGTTCTCTGCTCCATTCCTTGTGGCCTCCCCGCCACTATTTCTGGGTTCTTTGTATTTTTCTTTTTTTAGAATATCCTGCAATACTTTCTGTAGGGTTGAATTGGTGGTTGCAAATTCCCCCAGTTCCTCTTTATCCTGGAAGCACCTTGTTTTTCCATCAATTTCCAGGGACAGTTGTGCAGGATATCTCAATCTTGGCTGGAGATTATTATCTTTCAAAGCTTGAATTATTTTCCCCCATGCTCTTCGTGATTTGATGGTTTGTGCAGAGAAATCTGCTGTAATTCTGATGGGTGTTCCCTTGTAAGTGGTCTGTTTCTTGTCTCTTACAGCTTTTAATATTCTGTTCTTGTATTGAATTTCTGGAATTTTTATTATTATATGCCTGGGTGTTTCTCTGTTAGGGTTGTAGGTAGCTGGGGTCCTGTATGCCTCATACATCTGAGTATCTTTACCTTTTGCTAAATTAGGAAAATTCTCCTGGATTATTTCTGTGAGTAGCTTTTGTAGTTCACTTGTTTGTGTCCCTACTTCTTCTTTTATGTTCTGAATCCTTAAGTTATGGCTCCTCTTATCATCTTCTTGTCTTTGTATTATTGCTGTTTGTTTCTTTGTTATTTTTAAGAAGTTTTTCATTTCATTCTCCCATATTACAAGTCTGCCCTGAAGTTCAGATAGTCTGTCCTTAGTTTCTTTCAAGCTGTTATGCCAGTCTTGGATAGACTTCTTAATTTCTTGATAGTCCCTTTGAACCTGCTTCACATACTCTATGCTTTCTCTGTTTTCTCCATCAAGCAATTCTCCCCTCTTTTTCTGTTCTTCCATTCCACCATCTGTTTTTTCCTGGGTGGTGCTTAGCATTTCTCTAACTATTCTGCATACTTCTAGCTTCAGGTCGTTGATAACTTCATTCCTGAATTGGTCTATGAGGCTCTCTAGATGGCGCTTAATGTATATTGGTGCAGTGTCCACTATTGCCTGTTTCTCAGAATTGGGGGCCGAGGAGCCTTTCTTGTTGCTTCCCTTCCCCATATTTTCTGTTCCTTATAAAATGCAAGCTTACAAAGGAAGCCCGGCTTCCCTGCCTGTCAGCCACAGCCTGATCAAATTGCGCTGGCTAGGTGTTCCCGCCCACCGCAGTGCACCAGGGAGTTGCGGAGGAGGCAGCCTACGCGGGAGTCAGTCCTCCTCCGGGCCACCGTCAGGCTCTGGGATCTGGGTTAGGCCAGCCTACTGAGTCCGCCCGCAGCGTCACTCAGGCCAGGCACTTTTTACCAATCCCATCCGAGAAGGGAATGTGTGGCTGGAGTCGCCACCGCGCCCTGCTCCTACAGGACTGCCCGAGCCCAGAAAGTCCTCCGCAGGAGTCAAACTGTGGTAGGGGGTAGTTTCTCTCTCACCTCGCCACCAGTCAGTTTTCGTGTACACCTCCTTGTCCGTCCTGTTTTCGACTCCGTTCGCAGACTCCCATTCCCAGAGCTTCTGCGCGTCTCTCCTTGCCGAGCCGCTGTGGAAGCAGCCAGCCGCCCGGCGGCGGGAAACCCAAATCGCGGTTTCCAATGGCGCAGGGTCGAGCCTCCACACCGAGTCTTTTCTGTTCCTATTTTAGCGCCAGGACTGTATTCTAAGTTGGTTTCTCTCAGCCCAGTTCGTTCCTGAGTCAGCAGAGCATATCTCTACCGGTTCATGTCTCCTTAGTCCGCATCATTCCTGACTTCTGAGCCGAGCCTTTCAGAGAGCCTCCGGTAGTTGCTGTTGTCTGTCCGCCATGTTCTCCTGGAAATCCTATTTTTGTCTTTTTGAGACAAAGTCTCACTATGCAGTTCAGGCTGGCCTTGAGCTCACTTTGTAACCCAGGCTGGCCTCAAACACAGCGTTCCTCCTGCCTCAGCCTCCCACATGCTGGGATTACAGGCGCAAGCCACCACAGCCGGCTATATTGTTGTTTTAAACCTGCCATATTTTTTTCTGTAGGTAAAAACAACAGCCCGACCGGAACTGGCACTCTTCATGATAAAATACCTGATGACACTGATCGTCGGGATCTCTGCCGTCTTCTGGGTTGGAAGCAAAAAGACCTGCACCGAGTGGGCTGGGTTTTTTAAACGAAATCGCAAGAGAGAGTAAGAACCTGATGAGTTTTCTGACATGTTTTGAAAATAAACAGATCAAAATACCTAAACCTTTTCCCTAAGACAGCATAAACTATCGACCTTAATTTTAGAAAACAATTGAGTTTAAACCAAGACCATTAATTGTGGTCCTTGTCCTTTGCCTTCTGGTTACATCTCTGTCTGATGCACTTAAATAGGACACAAATACAGTCGGTCCCTTGCTGTGAGCTGAGCTGACCTTCCCTTCTTCTCTCCTCCTTTGATTTTGGTCTAATTTTTTACTAGCTTCCAATTGCAGCAAAAAGTGTAAGCCCAAACCACTGTTTCGCTGTCTGAAGCCTCCTATTTTGCAGTGTTTGCAAGGCTGTCCATTGGGTGGGACTTGGGAGGTACTGAGCACTGAGCACCTCTCTCCTGGGTCTCCCCGCAGTCCCATCAGCGAGAGCCGCCGGGTGCTGCAGGAGTCCTGCGAGTTCTTCCTGAAACACAACTCCAAGGTGAAGCACAAGAAGAAGCCCTGCAAGCCGGGTTCGCACAAGCTGAAGGTCATCTCCAAATCCATGGGGACCAGCACCGGGGTGACCGCGTATCACGGCACCTCCGCCGTGGCCATTGCCGACCAGGACTTCCTGGGACAAGAGACGGCGACAGACATCCAGACCTCGCCCGAGGTGTCAGTGAGAAAGGCAGGCACGGCCAGGGAGCAGGACCTCGGGGAGCCCACGTCCCCCACAGCCAGCTCCAGATTCGTCGGGGACATGGGTGACAGGAAAAGCCAGGCCACCAGCGTGCAGGACAGGGCCAGTGTCTCGGACAGTGTCCGGAGCGAAGGAAGGTGAGACTGATTCTATCTTTCGGTTACTTTGGCTAGTGTGCGTGCTGGGGATCGCCCCGCGGGGGCAGGAGTCTCCATTCTTCTCCTCCTCTCCTTCCCTCCTCCCGCTGCATCTCTTGGTCCCTTCCCTTCCGCCAAAGATCTGTCTCCCCGTTCCCCATGATCTATCTTTTGCTTTGCTCTTTAAATTATTCGTACGTTGGGTGTCTCATAGAGGGGGGACCCTGTGATGTTTGAGCTTGTGTGTCTGATTTATGATTTCTCCGGACACCTGGTGAGCAAGCCTTGGAGGAGTCTACCTGCCTGTCCCTAAGTGAGGGAGGCGTGGGCTCGGCCTGTAACCGCTGCAGAACGCCTTCCTCCCTCGCCTGAGCAGGCGGCCCCAGCTGTGGTCTCCTCTACACTAACCCTCCTGAGCTGCTCAGACACTTAGCTGGACGCCGCTGCCTCGTGTGAGGTGCAGGCTCGGTTTCCATCAGTACCACACTGCAGCTCTGTCTAAGAGGCGTTGTATAAATAGGGTTGTAAGATGCTTTTCGTTTTCTGAACATGAAAGGGTGTTGGCCTCTTTTTTTTTTTTTTTTTTTTAATTTGTCCTGTGTTTTGGTGCTGGGAACTGACCCAGGCCTCACGCACACTAGGGAAGCACCCTGTCACTGAGCTACACCCCAACCCCAACCCCAAGGACATTACCCTCTTTCATGAATTTTCCCACATGGACACAGACGATCGAAGCACAGGTGGACGTGGGCCCCACACTGACCGCTGACTCCTTTCAGCTGTCCACACTGGCTCAAAGTGCCTTTTCTCCTCCACTGACAGCTTTGTTTGTTTGGGTTCTGTGTTTTCAGTGTTGGGGACTGAGCCCAGCATCTTCCCCCTGAGCGGTATCCCTGGCCCTGTGTCTTCTTTTATTTTGACCCAGGGTCTCATGGCTCACTAAATCAGGAAGTTGCCCAGGCTGCGCTCCAATTTGACACCCTCCTGCCTCTGCCTCTCAGAGTGCTGGATTAACATTTGTGCCACCACACCTGACTCCCTGACAGTTCTTTGTAGACCTGGACGTAATCAGGAACACGCTTTATACCCCAGAAGTGTGGAGGGTCCTCCAGGTAGAGCCGAGACCTCACACATCTCTGTTCCCAGCCTAACTTGGGGTCTGGTCCAAGGTGGGGAATCTGTAAAGAATTCGCTGGGCTGAGGGCGGGGTTCTTGAGCCCTGGGAGACACTGTGTTCCATCCACCCGCTAAGGTCAGCAAAAGCTGCATTTGAAACCTGAGCTGTGTTCTGAGGACTTAGAATAGACCTGAGGGTTTAGAGCACCATGCTCCAGGCAGATTGCTGTCAGTGGGGGTGAAGCTCATGGAAAGCGGGGAGCAGACACCAGGACGTCTGACCTTTGCGCCTCTCCTCCTCCCCAGGCTGAGTCCCAGGAGCGACACTGCTGCTGCTGGCCCGGGGCAGGGCATGGTACCCCAAGGCCCCAGCTCCCCAGAGCCCGGCCACCTCGAGGACCCCACGCCCCCTGTCGGCCACGCGGCCTCGGGAGCTGGGCAGGCACAGGAGCCAGCGTCACCTGGACCACCAAGGACTACTGAGGACCCCGCGGGCCCAGCGTCGTAGGAACCCCAGGTCGCCTTCCTTCACATCAGCTATGAAGCGACTGGGTAAAAAACTGGTATCAAGAAAAATACGACTCTTTTCCCCAAAGGCTTCTGACACATTCCTGAAAATAGAAATGTTTAGGTTAATAATATTTTTTAAGTCGTGGGAGGAGGGAGCTGCAGGAAACTTCCTCTTCTATTTCTTTTCTTTTCTTTCTTTTTTTGTTTGTTTTTAACTCCTCTTGAATTTCTGAAGATTCTACCTGGGTTGGATGCGTTTTAAGATACATTTTCACTATTTTGGTTTTTTGACATCAAGGCAAGATTTTTCTTTGTTGAAGTATTTAAAACTTATCTGTGTACTTTTATATGTATTTGAAAAGAAACTTGTATGTATTTGAATATTTTGGACATGTTGGAAAACCGATTTGTGTATTTTTATTATCATATTCTGATATTTTAGCACTGCTTTGGTAGCATTTACACTGAATTTCTAACAAAACTAGAACATAGTATTCTTTCATAGTCTAACAATAGTTGGCACACCTAAACGTCTTTTATAAAAGGTGTTCAGCTTTAAAGAACCACTCTACCTTACTGCGCGGGAATTTATTTCTCATTGATTTAGGAATTCCACGCAGATTTCTACTGCACTGAAATAAGGTGCTCACTGGAAGGGCGTCCCTGGGGTGCTGCTCCTGGTCCTTCTGCATTTTGAAATAAAATAGCAGAGGAAACATATTCTTTTACAGACAAAGCCAGGTGCAATTGGTTTCTGTTCCTTGATGTTTCATGACACCCATGACTGCATTACAGCCACTCCCAGCTGCTTAGGCATCTCCTGTGTTTTAATTTTTGTTTTTTAATGCTTAGACTACTACAAACACTTTATATGGTGTAGCGGTATTCTCAGATGTTACGGCGCAGCAAAGTAACTGAGTGTACAAAAGTATCTTAGCAATGTTAGTGCCGGCCTGGTGGGGGAAGACACTGTTCTGAGGAACAGAATGTGTTTGGTACACATACTTCAAGCTATTCAGGAGTTTTTACAGTTTTGTATGTTGAACAAAATTCTCTGAAACTTTTGGTATATTTAGCATACTATTAAAGCATAAAACAAAATGATCATGTACTGTATGGAAAACGTTGTAAATATTAACTTTTCCACATTTGTAAACAGATAACTTTGTATACCTTGTTTTGAGTGACCTTTTTATTAATAAAATTTTCTTTATATAAGAGATTATAAAGTATTCTGTGGTTCAGTGGTATTGTGCAGGCCCAGGAAGTAGTACACAGTAAAACTTTGGGTTGCGAATAATTTGTTCTGCCCATGTTCTGTAAGATGAGCAAGCATTTCTAATAAATTTTAACTTGATAAACAAGCAGTGTCTTACAATACGAGTGATATGTGACACTGAATATCACATGATCTCAGCCGAGCCAACGGTTTTTCTCTCTCTGGCTGCAGAATTCTGTGTCTTGGTTACTTTTCTCTTGTTGCTGGGACAAAATACTAGGCACCCTAAAATGAAGGAAGGAAGGTTTATTTGGCTCACAGTTTGTGGAAGTTTCAGCCTATAGTTAGCTGGCTCCAAGCAGGGTGGCCTGGTACCGGGCTAACACTTTAAGGCAGCAGTCAGCAAAAGCAGCCAGAGCAAAAGAGAGAGAAAGAGCAGGCTTCTTATATTGTACACAGACCACCCCACTTCAGGGTGCGTGTAGCACCCACTAAATCTCTGTGCCCTCTTCTTGCACAGGCTGAGGATATTTACAAAGTAAGGATCTTGGCTTCCTGTAGAGTCTCTTAGTTAAACTTCTAAGCTTTTCAAGTTGACACAGGTATCAACCATTACAGTATGCTTGTCACATTTCTGCAAAATCCTTAAAGGGAAGCAAAATCAAGTGTCACTGGACAGGTCCTTATTAAAGCTGCAGGAAAAGAAAACAATTCCACTGAGCCAACAGCAGTGCTTCTGTTAGTGACAATGAAAGTCGTCTTACACAGCAACCCTCCTCTGTCGTTTCCTTCACACGAGCCATGAAGGCTTTCAAAACTAAGTGCAGGATAATTTGCTCACTTTCTTTACATTTTGTATTTTCTTTAATATTTTGTTTTATATTACAGTATTATAATCATTTTATATGAATATTTTTGGATTGTGGAATGAATCATCTGAGTTTCCATTGTTTTTTTAATGGGGAAATTTACTTTGATATATAAATGCTTTGGATTACAAGCATGTTTCTACTAAAACTGCCTCAGAAGGAAACAGTCTCCCACTCAGCAATGTGAAACATAGATGAAAGATAAAGACAAATGATGTTCTGCAGATGGGGAGCTCTGGGGTGACCCAGTGCTCTCTATGGAACAAAGGGCCATGAGTCCAAAAGCTCACAGCTTTCATTGGTATCAATCAGGGAAGTGGGTGGGAGTCAAGGCAAAGTGCTAGAGGACAGACACTTTGCAGGCACAGCTGTAAGGAGAAACAGACAAATTTTGTACCAGGCACAGAGGCGTCCAGTTAGCAGTACACGGGATAGCTTGATGTGTGCAAGGCTAGCACCTTTACTGCCAGAAAGATATAGTTCTTTCTGAGTCCCAAGGCCTCAGCTGAGATGGTATCTCATGTCTTAGCTTGGAATCTCACAGCTCGTGTTTGAGCCCCCCATTCTAGCTGTCAGCAGGTGGCAATCATGACCCACTTCGTTATGGGGAGACTCCTAGTGCCTCAGCCAGACTCCATCACATTCTTTTGACCAATTAAGGGAACATCAGCTTCAATATAGCCAGCTCCACATATCCCAGTGAGTAGCACTGAGTAAAGGTCCAGCAAAGATCGAGGCAAGGGGCTTTGTTCCTCAGGAGAGCACAGCTTGGTGGTCTCCCACATTTCCAGAATAAATTGTGCTCGCAAACCAAGGTTTTAATGTGCTTTTTCAGATTAGTGACACACTGTAAGTCAGAAGCTTTTTATTTTTTGTAGATGGTATTTTGCTACATTCCCTAGGCTGGCCTTTAACACCTGGGCATGAGCATTCTCCTGTCTCAGCCTCCCAGTTGCTGGCACTATAGGTATATACCACCACATCTGGCCAGAAGGTTCTTTGTACCTGAAGAAGGAAAGGACAGTCAGGAATCTTTTTTTTTTTTTTTTTTTTTTTGGTAGCAGTTTCTTCCCCGAAGAAGGCTAAAATATATGGAGAAATAAAACATCATCATTTCCTCAAGCATGAAGAACTAATAAAAGAGCAAAAACTAGCCAGCTTAAGGGGTGCTGCCCAGCTGACCCTGGGAGCTTCCATGGCACAGATGCTTTGGCTGAAAGAGAGAAGGGGCTGCTGGTGACCCCAGGGTGATCCCAAAGGGCTGCAGAGGAGGAAGAAGTGTGACCTCTAAAGGAAGCAATCCTGCCTTTAGTTATTGGTGCACCCCCAAAATTTCAAGCCCTGCCATTAGATAATAGTCCCCAGGCACCAGGCAGAAAGAAAAGAAAGTATCAGGGGGAAGGAAACGTTATTCTTTTTGTCTTAGGAACAGTTTTTAAACAGTGTCCTGCCACCCATGCTGGGGCCTGAAACCAAGCAACCCTCCCCTGCCTGTTTTGTTTTGTTGAATTTCAATATACATGAAAGTATGGACAGCTATTTTGAAGAGAACGAGAGACTCTATGACAGCCATTAGTGACTTCCCTATTGCCTGGTTTTGAAGACCTAAATCGCCTTCCTCATTCTGTTCGGATCAGTTTTGTACTATGTTGTTTTGTATGAATTCTCTGTATGTGAAGACATGGACAGCTATTTGGAGGAAAAGAAGAGACAATATGATAGATAGTGAAGATCTCAGGTCGTCTAGCTTTGAAATTTATATCTCTTACATTGCTTTTTTATGTCTTTTTTTGTTCTGTTTTGTTGTGGTTAATTTTACCCCCTATAAAATTAAATTAAATTAAAATAAAATAAAATACAGTGTTCTGGTCAGGGATATAGCTCAGTGGCACAAGCACCTGCCTGGCAAGTGTGAGGTTGTGAGTTTGATTCCTGGTACAAAAAATAAATAAAATAAAATACAACATCCATCCTGTGATCAATCAGGTGTACCGAAAGAATTTTTTTGGTTCATCAAAAGGATGAACAAGAATTGGCATGAATATCAGATTTAAAAAATCATCAGTACTCTTGAATGACCAGATGTGCCTTTAAACACTTTAAACTTTAAAACCCCAGCATGGAAAACTACATGCCTATTAGGATGACTAAAACAAAACCGAAGCTGTGGTACCAATCTTCAGAGAGGATGCAGAGCACCGGGATCCCATTCGAGGCTGGCGGGGAAGCCCAGGGCGCAGCCACAAAGGGAGCTGTGCGCCCCAGCCCGGTGCCGCCCAGCCCAGCTCCACGCAGCCCTTGGCAGCTCTGGCAGCCACACTCCTGGGGTCCAGGAGCCAGCCGGTCCCTGGGCAAAGTCCCCCTGCACAGGAAGTGCAGCTTCTGTCTGGGTAGCTCACAGTGACTCTTCCAAGCTCAGTGGGGCCAAGGCCCTCAGGAGGAGGCGTAGCGTGGCGACAGCAGCGTGGGGACTGTGGGCTCACCACAGAGCAGCCCCACCAACACCATGGAAGGTGAGCGGGGCGTGGGAAGAGCACCGCACCTTCCCGTGTGCGACCAGAAAGTCGCACCTCTGTGCCCTTGTTCTCCGCAGCCTGAGTCTCACTGGGCGGAGGCTGGGCTGGGGAGGTAACCAGGGCTGAGCCCAGGGAAGGCCACTGAGCTTCCCTAAAGGATCCAGCACCTCCCGGGAAACGTGGGAGGCAGGGGTCACTAGGCCCAGGAGGCCTGGTGACATCGCACACAGCGGGAGGAGACGAAACTAGAAGAAGAGGGTTCCTTCCCTGGGAATGAAGGCCATCAGGACACGGAGGGGCCTCGCTGCCACCCGGGGCCGTCCTTCAACCGACTGTGACCTCCCTGTGCCCCGGCCTCCTTAGTCCTGGGCAGCTTCCCAGGGCCTCTCCTCCTCTCATCTTCTTCTGCTTACCTCTGAGTTTCTCCTATGTTTCTAAGAAAATGTATCATCAGGCTTACCTTTTAAATTTCTATTAAATTTTTGTTTAGCAAGTGTTGTGTTCAGTGGTTGCAAGGAGAACAATTACATATAGGACCCAGAATTTGTAATATTATTTTATGACGGTCACCCAGAGTTAAATACAAGAAAGTGCAGGAAATCTGTCCACAACACTAAAGACCTAGAAAATCCAGCTGAGGGCTGAATCACACAGCAATGTCCTTCATGAGTCCAGCTGAAGACCTAGACCCATGACAATGACTCATGCAAGTCTGCTTCTCGGATCTGAGCTGTGAAGGCCCAAAGGTCAGTGGTGGAAGCCAGAAAGTCTGTACCAGTGAGGTGAAGGATCTGTGCTCACAGAGTGAGGGTTCTGCAGTGGAGCCAGGAAGTTTAGCCCAGCATAAGGACCAGGGCTCCCCCAGAAGTCCCACAGCCATCCTCAGGGACAGTGAGGTTCTGAGCTCCTCCGATGATGAGACCAGTCTGGTACATATCAGGAAGCCAGCGTGACAAGCTTCTCCTGGATACCGAACAGCACACATCTTCCCGTCCAGAGCCAGGAAGCGATGCTCAGTGTTAGGACCAGAGCGCCCCCACAGTGAACCGCAGCCGCCCTCTCCAACAAGGTCCCGAGATCCTCCAGTGATGACAGCAGAGTTCATATCAGAGGAGCCAGCATGACAAGCTCTTCCAAGAGAACCCACAGCTCCACAACAACACTTAGGAGAACCCACAGTGCCTCCCTTTTCCTCTCCATGCCTCCTTTTGTGCTGGCAACTTTCCTCAGGTGGCCATCTACACTTAGCACCAGGCTGATTCAATTCAGCTGGTGTTAAGTCGACCACCCGTTTTTAATCATAACAGCTACCATTTTTAAATTTCAGAGCATTTTTAAAATCTCTGTTCACAGTACCTTCCTGTCCTATGATTTTTAAAACATATGTAATTTATTTTTAAAGTCATATAGAAAATGTTGGTTTTTAAAACTTATTTTGTAATAGATGACTTTATGAAAGTAATTGAGCACTCTAATAATTGTCTTAAAGAAGGAAATTTTTTAAATGGATAGTAAACACAATATTTTTCTCAAGCTATTAGTTGGACTTTAAACACAATTAAGACATACAAATATCAGGGAAAATGGCTTAGTGACCAAAGATTAAGATATTAAAGTTACATTTTAAATACTTTTACTGTAAGATATTTTTTGTTTGTTTGTTTTTGTTTCTGGTACCAGGGATTGAACTCAGACCTTACCCCTGCCAGGCAGACACTGTGCTCCTGAACTGTATCCCTGTAATGTTTGTATTGTAAGAT